CCATGTTATGATCCTCCCACAGCTTTTCAGGATTATCTTGCTTAAGAACTGCCACACTGGTTCTCCAGGCTGACCTTCTATATAGTGCAGACCTTGCAGTGTCACCCTTGGGTTGAGGTGAAGCCTGTGTTCTAAAAAACTTGTCTAGTCTGTATTCAAGCTCTCCAGGAGTGAAAAACACAGCCTCTTGTTACTGCAGTCAATACCATTGCTTTTGCAGGAGCTTGTGGAAGTGGTGGGCGCAGTACCTGGAGAGCCAGTCAGACCTGGAATCCGCGCTGCAATACTATGCACTGGCTCAGGATTACTTTTCCCTCGTCCGTCTCCACTGCTTTCAGGGCAACATTCAGAAGGTGAGGCAGCCTAATCCCACCTGCTCCCAGAGCTCTCATTCCTGGGATGGGCACAGGCACCAAGTAAAGCCATGTGATGCCCTTTGCAGGCTGCTGAAATTGCAAACAAGACGGGGAACTGGGCGGCCTCCTACCACCTGGCCCGGCAGTACGAGAGCCAGGAGGACATCAAACAGGCCGTGCACTTCTACACCCGGGCCCAGGCCTTCAACAATGCCATCCGCCTTTGTAAGGTATGGGGGGAGGGACAGCTGGCCCCAAAACCAGCACACAGGGAAGGCAGAACGAGGTGTTTGTGCCCATTGTCTCCTGTGAGACACTGCCTGCTCATGGACAGCCCACGGGGAAGGTGCTCCTGGTTTCTGCTGCCATCTTCTACCGAAGGTGGATCAATGCAGCTTTGGTGGTTTGGGACAGTATTTTGTTGTACAGCTCATCAGAAACTGCCTGAAAGAAATTACCATAATTGAAGCTCAAAGTCACTGGGGTTATAGAGGTTTTACACAGAAGGGGGTGATGGTATTATACTGTGTGACAGCACAAAGCCACAGCCTTGCCAGAATTACAAAACTTGTGTCTGCACACCCCGAGCCAAACCTTTTCTTTTGAACAGGCAAACAATTTAGATGATCAGCTGATGAACCTGGCTCTCCTGAGCTCACCAGAAGACATGATAGAGGCAGCCTGCTATTATGAGGAAAAGGGGGAGCAGATGGACAGAGCTGTCATGTTATACCACAAGGTAAATATTTTTTTAGTAAAAACTCTCAAACCCTAAACAAAGCAGTTCCTACAGCAGAGGAATGTTAAATCAACTGTAGTTCTTACTATATCCTGATGAGTAGTCATTTCTTTGTGGTGGGTAATGCTTTATTAACCCTTTCCAGGGCATCCTGTGAACTGGCTCTGTAGTACTTTAGTCTTTGAAGCCTCATTCGTAATTTTGCAGGCAGGACACTTCTCCAAAGCCCTGGAGCTGGCCTTTGCCACACAGCAGTTCGGGGCCCTGCAGCTCATTGCTGAGGACCTGGATGAGAAGTCAGACCCGGCCCTGCTCGCCCGCTGCTCCAGGTTCTTCGTGGAACACACTCAGTATGAGAAGGCAATGGAGCTGCTCCTCACGGCCAAGAAGGTGAGCTGAGCCCTCTGGCCCCCCCTGCACAGGTAGAGGAGGTGTGTACCTGCACACAGACATTTATCTGTGCAGGTAAACAGATACACAGAGACACTTGCAGGGTTTAAAGTTTCCTCTCAAGCCAAGGACTCAGCACCTTGCCAGAGTGCTGGGTACCAGACCCATCCTGTGCCCACTCCTCTGGCTGCCTTTCTGCCATGTTCTGCAAGGGCACAGTAGCCCTTTTCTGGGCTAAAAGCTCTTTTATAACCTAGTCAGAATTGGTTCCAATAAGGGAAGTACCAAAATATTTCACAAAGTCTTTCAATTTATTTGTACTTGCTGAAAACCTAATGTTATCAATCATGCCTAACAAATCTGACTTGTATGACTGAAAATTCAGAGTCCAAATGACTGAATCTTCAGTGGCAGCCTTGTGTCCACTGAGAGAACAGGTGAGAACCAGTGGTGTCATGGAAGAACAAACATGTTCTTAGCAAACAAAATGGGACAGTGTGTGCCTGAACAGGGGCTGATGTCGGGGCATGTAACTACACCCGTATTCCAGAGCATCCTCAGCTGCTTGTGTGTGCAGCTGGTTTCTGTAGGTTACACTACAAGCAACGTGAGGTATCACAGTAGTGTTTGCAACATCTCATTGCTCCCTTGCTCCCACCAGTACCACGAAGCTCTGCAGCTCTGCCTGGAGCAGAACATGACCATCACCGAGGAGCTGGCTGAGAAGATGACGGTCTCCAAGGACTCCCAGGACCTCCCTGAGGAGTCCCGGAGGGAGCTGCTGGAGCAAATTGCCGACTGCTGCATGAGACAAGGCAACTATCACATGGCCACAAAGAAATACACACAAGCAGGAAATAAGTTAAAGGTCAGCCTGGATGGCCTCAAAACAAGGGTGTTTTGAAAAGTAAACCTTGGAGCAGATTCCTGCAGTAACTACCCAGACAAAGCTTCTGAGCCATCTTGCCTGGTGTTTTTGCGTTCACAATATTTTCCCTCTCTCCCCCATGCCCCCATTTCCATTGCCAGGCTATGAGGGCACTGCTGAAATCTGGGGATACCGAGAAAATTGTCTTTTTTGCGGGAGTTTCCAGACAGAGAGAGATTTACATCATGGCAGCCAACTACCTGCAGTCGCTGGATTGGCGTAAGGATGCAAAGATTATTGCGAACATCATCAGCTTCTACACCAAAGCAAGGGCGCTTGACCTCCTGGCAGGTTTCTATGATGCATGTGCTCAGGTACTGCCCATTCTGTGACTGCTGAACATGTTTGGTTTGGTAGCTCTGGAGCAAGACCTTCATCTCCTTTCTCCTCTTGCAGGTAGAGATTGATGAGTATCAGAGCTATGAGAAAGCCCACAGAGCGCTGGCAGAAGCCTACAAGTGCCTGTCCAAGGCAAAGGCCAGAAGCCCTGTGGAACAGGAAAGCAAACTTGCCCACCTGCAGAGCAGGATGACCCTGATGAAGCGGTTCATCCACGCTCAGAGGTGAGCTGCAGCACACAGAGCATGGAAACTAAGTGACAGAAATATCCTACCAGAACAGAAGTTTTAGCAGCACCTGCAGTTAAAAAAGTAATTTGCAGCCTCACTTCTAAAAGCTGCTGGGACACTTTTCTAGCAGGGAAACCATGATGTGATTTTTAGAAGTGCTGTTGACATTAAAGGTGGAAAGGTAGCCTGAAAGAGAAGGAAGTATCTGGAGCAAGGGAGGTGTAGCCAGAAAGGTGATTATCACAGAATGGTTTGGGTTGGAAGGGACTTAAAGATGATCTTGTTCCACCCCCTGCTATTGGCAGGGACACCTTCCACTATCCCGGCTCCAAGCCCCATCCAATTTAGCCTTGGACACTTCCTGGGATGGGGCAGCCACTGCTTCTCTGGGCAACTGTGCCAGGGCCTCACCACCCTCACAGCCAGGAATTTCTTCCTAATACTCAACCTACATCTACCCTTCTTCAGCTTAAGGCCATTCCCCTTTGTCCTGTCCCTCCATCCCTTGTCCCCAGTCCCTCTCCAGCTCTCCTGGAGCCCCTTTAGGCCCTGGAAGGGGCTCTCAGGTCTCCCTGGAGCCTCCTCTTCTCCAGGTGAACACCTCCAGCTCTCCCAGCCTGGCTCCAGAGCAGAGGGGCTCCAGCCCTGGAGCATCTCCATGGCCTCCTCCGGCCTCTCTCCAGCAGCTCCACGTCCTTGTGCTGTTGTTCCCCATATCTGGAGGCAGCTCTGCAGGGGAGTCTCACCTGAGGGGGCAGAATCCCCCCCTCCCCTGCTGCCCATGCTGGGGGATCAGCCCAGGACATTGGGGAATTCTGGGTTTTGTTTGGGTTTTTCTCATGAAACATAATTCAGCAAAACCTCTTCCCTGTCCTTGGCCTGACAAGCTGAACACTCCCTGGGCTGTGACAGTTGCTTTTTGCCCTTTCCTAGAGTTTACTCTGAGGACCCCAAGGAAGCAGTCAGGCAGTGTGAACTGCTCCTGGCTGAGCAGGACTTTGACGACGCCCTCCGGCACGGAGATGTTCTGGGATTTCTGCTTCAGCATTATGCACAAGTGGAGGAATTCCACACGGTGAGTGAAGCCTTAATTCTTCCAACCTACAGAGCCCATACTGTACACCTGTGCAGCCTGCTGGAGCGTGGCTCTCACAGAGGAAGGCATTCCACAGCAGGAGCTGAACTGCACAGCAGGGTGGGGCACAGCTCAGGAACTACATCCGTATTTTTCACTTCATGGGATGCAAAGAGAAAAAGAAAGCTCCCATCACACAGAGCATAAATGGTGGTGGATTCTTAAGCATTCCCAGTTATGAGAACAGAGGGTCTGTCTGGGTGAGTGCCTCAGCAATCACACCACACTGTATTTGCCACCTGGCCAGAGAAGAAAGCAAACTGTAAAATTGCAGTTATTTGAGGAAATGGTGAATCGCTCCTTCAGGGCAGATGTGCCACACACCCCCAGTGCTCCCACTGAACTGTGACCTGCTGCTGTTATGGAATGTGAGGATGCCAAGGGCAAGTTCCTCCAGTTGTGCTGATTAACCTCATCTCTGATGTGCAAAGCACATTAAATGGATTACTGGGGCCTGTAGCACTGCAGCCCTGACAGTGATCTCTGCATTCCTTTAGGCTTACCGCTGCCTGGAAGAGATGCAGAAGAGAATTCCAGCCTCCCACCTGGGCTACTTTGTGTCCCCAGAGACCTTGGAGGCTGTGCACCGAGGGGCAGGCGTGCCCCTAAGCCCAGCCCTGGCTCCAGCACACACAGACAACAGGGAGGTGGAAGAAGAAGTGGCTGATGAAGTGGAGGACTCCTGACACTGCAAAGCTGACTTTAATACCAGGTCTTTTATTGCACCCTCATTAGGGGTCCCGGATCAGTCACGTGCTGCTGCCACAGGGCTTTTTGGTTATTACCAAGGAATTTATTTTTCCTGCTTGACTGTACAAGCAACAGTATTGCAGTTAATAGGCTCTCTCAAACACAACATACAGAGGTTCATATGTACATCCTGTTAAAAACCTGGCTTTAGTATTTTAATAAATTTGAGACAGAAAAAAAACAGTAAGAACTGCATATTCAGGGCTTTTTCTGAGTCCAGAAAAGAGCTGAGTAACTGAAGTGGAAACCATGAGTTGACAAAATTCTCAAGTACAACTTTGATCTATAATTCCCTAGAAGCGAGACCTTCTAAAAACAATCTCCATCCCATTTGGAAGGGCCATGGTTAAAAAATCAAACTACCCCCCTCCTGCAGGCTGAAGGCCGACTTCCCTCACCCAAAGCTTCTGTATTTAAATACATCAGAGGGTCATGTTGGGGAGACCACTTACAGACATCTGGGCTAAACATCAGAGCCACGGAATGGCTGGGCTGGAAGCGACCCTGGATGCCTCCTGGTCCAAACCCTGCTCAAGGGGGGGGGGGGGGGTCACTCTGAGCAAGTAAAACTTCCTTCTCACAGGGAAGCTCCTTCTCCAAACACCAGTTACATCAAGCCACTCTGTTCTAGTCATATTTTCAGATGCAAATTTCTCCGCTGGCACAAGCAGGACTGTGAGAAGTGAAGTTCAGTGTACCAACCAAGCTCCTGCTCACCTCTCAGCCCGTCACCCCGCCCCACCAAGGGGTAGTAATCAGGTCACTCGCATCTCTTACCAATCAGCCCTTCTGCTTAAATGATTTTTCTTTTTCATGTTTTGTGACTTGCTTCAAAACTTGGGGTGAATATAAAGTTTTTAAATTGCTTTCAAAGAAGAAGAGTGGGGAAGATTTTAACGTCAAAATCTGAATGTTAGTTAGGTCCAGCACATTTTCAGCAGTTCAGTGTAGCTATCCAGTGTTTGCATCCCATCAACAGTGCCATTCCATGCCACCCCTTCCAGCAGCAGGCCAACAGCTGTCACCCCAAACTGCCTGCTCAGGGGTGCAGGAGCCTTTGTCAGGGGCAGGTCAGAGTGGCAAGTGCTGTCCCCAGCCCTCCTGTTTGTCTGACAAGAAGGCTCCATGAGATCTTCCCCATATTTTTAGCTGAGTGCTCAGACCTGCCAGGGTTATAAATAGCTGGGTGGGGGTTGGGGGAGGATGGCAGTGCTCACTGCCTTCCTGCATCTGTACTCGCTGTACCGGATACCAAGAGCTCACTCAATTGGCCTCCACTACAAAGTCCAGATGTCAAGTCAGACCTGTTGGCTCACAGCTCAGCACCCTTCCCCCTTTTTCCTCTCCTCCAGCCAGGTGACTGCTGAAGAGGCCCCAGCAGTGCCCAAACACATTCAGCTGGCAAGAGCATGAGCTAAAGGCCACTTCTGTTACCCTTTCAGCTAGGAAGGGACAGCTTCAAGTTTCTTTTTCAGGTTCTCCATGAGCAGCAAGTTCTGCAGGGCCAGCCTCCTGCAGTCCCCATCAGGATCTTTCTCCACCGTATCTGCAAAAGAAGCAGCTGCTGAGAGTTGGAAAATGGGCACTTCTCACTATCACTGACAATCACAGGACTAAACACAACAGCATTTGCACCTGTGGCTGGGCTGGAACTGCACTAGGCCTGAAGGCAGAGGTGCACAAACTTGATCATCTAAAGCAGCATGAACTCAGCCAAGCCCTGAGTGCCACACAGGACAGTGCGCTGGTCAGTCTTGTAGGAGAAACAAATAGTTGGGTTGAAACACTATAGACACTGTCTGATCCTGGACTCCATGGGATAACCTCTGTGCCAGAATTTGTACTTGTGCCCTCAAGCTACACATAGCCTTGGTACAGCTGAGCTACAAGTGTGAATGCAGCTTGCAATTAGAAATCCACTTTCTCCAAAGCCTAAAGTCTCCATTCTGCCATTCCTCCAATCCAAAATGGTCAGTGCTCCCTCCTGAATTTGGGGTCATGCTGCCATTCCAATGGGGAAAGGAGGCAGGCCCCAAGGTTCAGCACATTCTCCGTTCTGAGAGACCAGTCCTCTGATAAGTGAGTTCTTCCACATGTTATGCAGCACGTTAGGGCAGGCATGAGGCTGTTCCCAGCAGCTGTTATTCCAGGGGCCCTTAAACAGGCCTGCAAAGTAACAACCAGGATGCATGCAGGATGTCTGAGCACGGGAGCCTGGAAGAGCAGGGAGCCTGTGTGAGGATATCCTGTACGCACGAGCCCGTGGTAGGAGCCCGGCACTGTCAGCCCAAACACATGACTCATGGCCATGGAGTGGGGCTATTTATAACACAGGGAGAGCTGCCCCATGCTGCTTCCATGCTCCCTCTACAGAAGGCAAAAGGGGAGGTTACGAGGCAGACTGGAACAAGCTCAGAAGCTCACAGTGCTGCTGTTTCTGTTCTGTGAGCCTGGACCTGGCACTGCTGGCACGGCAGGGGAGGCACAGGGCACCAGAGTATCCTTTGGGTCCTGACATAAACCACACTTAGCCATGACACAGCTCCACGGCACTTGCAGGGGGTGGGGAATTCCCTCAAAGGCAGCTGCTGAGGAATCAAAGGAACTGTTTCCTAGAAGTGTTTAGGTATTCCCTCCCTCCCCTAGGAACAATCAGACTGCTCACCAGTAGGTTCAGCATGGCACTAAGGGCAACGATGGACAAGTGCAAGGTGGATTCTCACCTCTCCCCCCAGCTGAAATGTCCCAAAGCATCCAGTAAGCAGACAATGCCATGACAGTGACTGAAGTAGTTTCTTAGTCCACACTGTGAACAGTTCTGGTGACAGCCCACAGGCTGAAGGGCAGACACAGTCCCAGGGTCACTACAGCAGTCTGTGTAGGCCCTGGTGTAACAACAAACTGAAGCAAATTTGTGGATTTCTACTCAACACTTCATGGATAACATTTCTTATCCCAGTGTTCATCATTGTGCTTTGGCCATGGCAGGAGAAAGGCAGGGCTTTAATCTGAAACCCAAAGCAGCCACGAGGCTCCTGCGCAGGGCAGCTTGTCACTCCCAGCTAACACACACCACAGCTAGCACAGCTAACACACACCACCTCTTGCAAAATCTTGTCTGGAAGAGTCATGAAGAAACAGCAAGTTCGTGAGCTCAGACCTGCAATTCAGGCACAGAAGGAGGACTCCAGTGTCAGATTTGACCTGCAGGATCAGCAGGGAGGACCCAGTGCCTCCCTGTGCAGCCATTTTACCAACAACCTTAGAACAAACAGCAAAGGCACAGCCCACAAAGCTGGGGTGCTCCAGGAAGCAGCCCTAGAAGCCCTTTAAATTGCACTTAAATTGCATCTCACCAGAGGTGGAGCTGAGTTGAATTCTTTAAGGTTTTTGAACGATTCCTACAGCAATTTTCCCTTCTCTGGTATTACCCACAACTGTGATCTTGCCCTGCGCTCATTTCCACAAGGATCAATTACGTAGTTTTCCTGCAAAAGCACTACATGTAAAGAGATGGCTATTACACTCCCTACAGCCATGAGAAGCTACTACTAGTTCTCTCATCCTCCTCCTCCCCAAAATAACTCATTAAAAACAGATTATGCAGCTCCTCATGCTGGAAATGCATTCCTGAAAGGCTGCACTTGGTAACTGCAGAGACAAGCAGATTCCTGAGAGCACACCATGTCATGGGAAAAGTGAAGTCTTGGGCCCCACAAAGCAGCTCTTCCTTTCAAAGGGCATAGAGCTCCCCAACCTGCCAGGATCAGAGCCTAGCTGGGTCAATGTCGCTTCCTGCTTGCTCCCTGTGGGAAGCCACGCACCAAGAGAGAGAATGGTGAAGGAAACCAGAGCAGGGAGTCATAGGAGTCACCCTGAGAACACAGTGGAGGCTTCAGCATTAGTTCCTCTGTTAGCTCCAGCTCCCTGCAGTACCTGAGCACTGATCTGTGCAGAACCCAAGGACACAGCTTGTGTTGACCTCGAGTGCACTGGGTGCACTTGTTCTTTCCATCAGCAATAGGAAGTGAGAGATGGAGCCATGCTCCTCTTCCTCCTGATTTTAGCACTAACAACCCCCGCTCCTGGGTGGGTGGTTGGATGCTCAGACAGAGAAAGGGGGCCCAGAACACCTCTGGGGATTTTTTTCATTGGCCTGTGAGGACAGTCACAGTTTGAAATGCCACACACAGCTCTTGGCTTATGCCTCAGGTACCTGGGTACTGCACCCCTGCAGCACACAGGGTGCTCTGCCACTCGCTGATCATGCAAATTTCTGGTGCACAATGCCAGGGCATCACTGCTGCCCTCACAATCAAAGAGATGCTGCACACAGACTGCACCACTAACCTGAAAAGCACTGGTCTACTCCACCATGTCTTACCTCCCAGCCAGGACTGAGTCTCCAACAGCTCCTCTGTCATGTCTGCCAGAAGCAGCTCTGCAGGGACACTGAGGAGCAGGGAGGAGATACAGGACAAGAGGCCCTGGCGCACATACCTGTGGAGAAGAACTGGTTAGAGCCTGCACCTCGATTTCCTCACCTCAGGAGCTCTCCAGTTTCAAAAGGTATGATGACTTTTGCCACATTCCTGCTGATTAGTGGTGTAATCATGCACCAGCTAGCAGCGTGCCCACATCCAGAGCCCCTGGCATGCTGTGGTGCAGAAGTCTGGTGTAATTGAGAGCCCTGGACAAGTCTGAGATCAAACTAGAAACTGGATGTTTACAGCCTTTTGGCTACATGTCTTAATTCCTTTCCAAGGCTGAATGCTAGAATTGAATCTATAGTTTTCTGAGCTCCCTGAGTAAACACAGATGAAACCATCACATGGACAGGTGGTCAGGAAATTTGTCAAGCTTTCTATAGGTAATGGCTGTACTGCCACACTAGAAGACACCAGCCAAGTTCATGTGTTGGTCTGGCATTACACTCAGCTGAAGGAGAGCAGAGACTTATTGCATTAAGTCTCTGATACCCTGAGTCAGGTGCTAGTCTTGCACAAAGACAAACCATGGCTGGAGACTGGCTCACAGCTGATCTTTAAAAATGAAAGTACACAACTAGAGTAACTCACGAGTCCGTGTGGAAACGCAGAGTCCAAACAAACTCCAGCAGTGCCTTTCCCATTGCTGTCACTGCCTGCAAAAGAGGATTGTGACAGCACTGAACATCTTCCCATCCACACCACCCCACAGAGACACACTGCTCACAGAGTCACAGCATGTCCTGAGCTGGAAGGGACCCAAAGATCATCGAGTCCAACCCCTGGCCCCACACGGGACACCCCAACAATCCCACCCCTGTGCCTGGGAGCATTGTCCAAATGCTCCTTGAACAAAGATTTTGTAAAGATCAGGGCTACAATTAAATGCATTTTACAGATGAGGAAACTTGAGCAGCAAATTGAAATGATGTGCTCAACCCCCCAAAGAAGCTCACAGTTTTTCTACAAAAGATAGTGCAGGGGTGGCTTGAATCCAATGTCTCTTTTCTGACTGATTTGTCCCAGCCTCTTTCACAGCTTCTCAGCCCACACAACAGCAGAGTTGCTGCCAGCCCATTGCAGCAGGCCCCAGAGTACTGCTGTTCCAGAAGGCACCTCGAGTTCCCAGGCTGGAAGTCTCCCCTGCTCTCTGCCCTTCCTTACCACAGCATTGACAGCCAAGTACATCAGCACTGCTAAGGTGTGGACCAGCCTTCCGAGGACTAAGTGATCTTCCCCCAGGAGATCAAATGTTGTCAAAGGCCTGCAAGACACAGAGTCATGTAGCAGTAAGAAGGCTGATCAGTACATCTTTGGAACAGCTGGGGAGTTATGCAGGGGCAACTGTCCTCCTTAAGGCTGAATCCCTACAACAGTCATTGCACAGTCACTACCAGATTAACACAGCCCATGACTGTTTGCTCTCATCTTTTATCCCAGTCCAGTATCTCCCACAGCAATATCCTCTACTCTTACAGCAGCTATCACTCATTTCACCAACAGGCTTACTTGGAAAGACCTGCAGGCAAAAACTGCCCTCACTGCCATACCCTTACAACTAGTATTACAATAATCCTGATTATCATGGAATCGATTACTTGGCCTTCTTATGTTAGCAAAGACTTAAGGAACTGACCATGTCCTGTGTCCTATACAGGTTCCACTTGAGACAGAGCTAACTTTGGTTCCAGACTGCAGTCTGAGCTCTGTGGTTTGTGTGAACCTCCCACAGTGGAGGTTCAGCCAAGACAAACGGTGTGGTGCTGCCAAAATCACTTGTCTGTGAGATTATCCCTCGCGATGGATCTCATTTCTTCAGGGTCCTACACACTCCTGCCCCACAGGCCTTTCCAAGCTCTGTGACACCCTGGTGTCAGTGCAGTGTCACTGGGCTCCTGCACAGCTCCTGGGCTTTAGCCTGTTGCTCTGAGGCAAGAGAACAAGCAGAAAGGTTCACTCTGGCAGCTGCCATACCCATACCCCAAGGTGTTCACACTCACCTGTCAAAGTGCTGAAGCAATGGAAAGAAGAAGTGCCCAGCAACAGAACTGAACTGGTTTGGGCTGGAAGCCGGTTCCACGTGACACTGACGCTGTCCAAGAGAAAAATGAAGTCTAGACACAAGATGCAGCACCCAGCTCTTCCACTTCACTGGACACTGCCATGACAACAGATTCCTTGCAGCCAGCCACTGCTTGTAGACCCATGGCTATCAGTTTCCTGACTGGATTGCTCACTTCCCACTTCAGATCCTCTCCACATCTAAACATTTCAGTACAATATAGCTCAGTACTGCTGGGTTAGATATAAGGAACAGGAACATGCAAGGGATAAAGGAGTTTTGGAAAGCAAACTCTCCAAGCTGAACCACAGGGGAATTCTGGGAACTAGGAAACTGTCATCAGTTTATCTCCCTGGAAAATAGGAAGGCTGAGGCAGTCCAGTCTGGGATCTGAGAGGTGCAGTCACAGCTCCCTGCAGTGGCCAGACAAGCTCAGAACAGCCACTATCCCTCAAAGCCAGGTAAGGAGTTCCAGGTTTATTTTCCTCTCCCTGCTGGGAGAGGACTGCAGGAATTGGTACTCTGCACCAAAAGATTCAGCCAGATACCAAGATACATTTACATTAGTAGTTACAGAGTTTTCCTTTGGACTGGGCCCACTTTCATGGGTTTTTGCTCTTTCCAGATAGAACTACAGCAGGTCTGAGTGTCCCTATTTTTGCTGGATTTGACCTTAGTTTGTTTCTGCCCTGGCCTCACCGTAGCAAATCTCCGAGTCTTGCTTTTGATCCTCTCATCAACAATTCTTCTCCAGTCCTTAGAGCTGTCATTTCCAGGAAGGACCTCAATACGAGGCTTTTGGGCATCAGAATGCTTGGGCTTCCCATGGAATTTGGGACAGGACAGTTCCTGAGCTGCCAAAACCAATACCTGGATGAAACAGAGAGATGTTCAGTTAAAAAGGGGTAACCCCTAGGGAACAACAGTACCCTACACCCAAACTGACAGGAGCAACAAGGCAGAAAGGCACAACAGGTTTAGAGTGAAGAACAGCAGGGAACTGAACCCCAAAAGCCACCTGGCTTCAAAGTACTGACCAAGCACTTGGTCACTGAGCCCTGAAGCAGAGCAGCAGCTCCTTCTTCAGACAGAGGTGTGGAAGGAGTCATGGGTAGATTTTCCTTCAGAAAAGGAAGACAGAACAGGCTGATGAAGGGAAAGGAAACTGTGACTTCTCCCAGGCAAATGCCCAACAAATGCTCTGCGTTCTGGGGGGAGGGATCCCTGTGTCATGGAGTGTAGCAGGGTTAGGAACAAGAGGGTAATGCCAGGCACGAATACAAATGTAGAGATTCCCCTGCCTCTGCCTCCTCCCATGAGGAATGAAAGGTAACCCCATCACACCTCAGCACTGGTGCAACAGACAAAGGCAAGTGGGAAGTGAGAACACTTACATCAAGGATGTCCATGCGCTGACGGAGACTGTAGTTGAGAGAGTAGAACTGGGAGGTCAAGTACTTTGAAACCTGTACAGAAAAATCATGGTACAGTCAACGCAGACCCAGGCTGGAAACAGCCTTCCCACTAACCCTAAAAGCATTTCATTTCACAGGGCCTGCTTCCTGTGAAGTAACATAAGGCTTCCAAGGGAAGGGAAGAGACATGCTGTGTAAACAGGGGAAATTCAGACACTCCCAGGTTCTCCCAAAAGAAGTAAATGGCAAATGGGACTTTCTAATTTTTCTGTCCTTCCTATACAGAAGTACCCAAAAAACTGCCATGACAGCTAGCAGACCTCACTGTGGCCTCTCTGTACCTTAAGAGGGTTATAGGAAAGATAGAGGGAGGCTTTTTACCAAGGCCTGTACTCATAGGATGAAGGGTAAAAGTGTTAAACTGGCAGAGGATAGATCTAGATTGGATGTAAGGAAGAAATTCGTGGCTGTGAGGGTGGTGAGGCCCTGGCACAGGTTGCCCAGAGAAGCTGTGGCTGCCCCATCCCTGGGAGTGTTCAAGGCCAGGTTGGACAGGGCTTGGAGCAACCTGGGATAGCGGAAGGTGTCCCTGCCCATGGCAGGGGGTGGAACGAGGTGAGCTTTAAAGGTCTCTTCCCATCTAAACAGTTCTGTGATTCCATGATTACAATCACCAATGAAGTCTTTCTCTCTAGAAGCCCTTTGTGCCTCAGCTCCCCTCTATGATACCCTTCACTACAACAAGTCCTTATCTACTCTGCCTTGTCAGGTACACTCTTACCAACAGCCACAAACAGTCCCTCCAGTCTGACAGTTTTCTCTTTCCTGTTGGTTCAGTCACTCCTTGCAGATTCTTCAGCTGCATAAATGTCAGACCTGATCTACCTGTTCTACCCCACTGACAAGGAGCTGCCTCTATCAAACCAGCAAGAGACTTCAGCTGATTCCAGTTTTTGCCTGTGCCTCAAATGGAAAAAAGAAAGTAGTAAGAGGAACTCACAGGTATTGGATCTGTGGTTAAAACAGCTACTTGAGCTCTCTGACGGAGCTCCACAAAGCCTTCGATGCAGGTCTTCTCCTCCAAATGCAATAATATTTTTGCCAGCTCCACACTAACCTGCTCAAAATATGAAAAAAAGGAATCAAATCTCTGATGGTGGGGGTTTTTTTCCCTCATGGCCTTTACACACCATTTCTCATGTTTAAACCAAGACAATCCATATAGGCAACATGTCTATCACTTAGGAGGGTGAGAAAACACATTAAACCAAATGCCATCAAGACAGACTTCTCAAAACCCTGAGCAACCCCCCTGTCTGCTAATTCTCTGTCCAGATTCACTTGGGCTTTCTGGAGAAGTGGTGGCATCATGATATAGGATAGCTGATGGGTTAAGGGTACAGGACCATACCCCTCCCATTTCTCAGCCTGTGTCTCTGCCATCTTCAAGTGTTCACTAACAGGTGGTGGTGAGCATTCTTTGCACAGTGACCTTGTCCCAGGTTCCTCTCACCTGAGCTTTTCATCTTGACCATACAATCCAATTATTCCCCTCAGAAGACATTATGCTTCTACAAGTAAAAGGGGAAAGTCCGTTTGATTTTACCTCCCTTTTTGTTGGGGACTAACAATTAAATTGAATTTCATTTCAAAATCCAACATAGTTGCTCTGTAATCTGCATTTCTGATGTTTTTCCTGCCCAGCACAAACCATGGAGCTTCCTCATACAGGCAAGCTCTCCTTGCAGCACATTTCATTTTGAGTGCTGAAGCTGCTGGATACCATGGGGTTGCCAGCACCTTTGCTAATTCTTTGTTTCTTTGTGCTCCAGAGCCTTACCTTCAAGACAACTACTTCCATCTATTTCCCTTCCCAAGTTGAAAGCTTGGGAATGTGTACCTTAAACCCAGGTACACATTAGCCTGGCCTGCTGCTCCATTGGCACATCTCATCTCCTCATGACAGCCCTCTGGTATTGCAGCCCACTGGTAACCTGGGTCCTGCTACTTCACCTCTCTTGTTGCTGCTGGATTCCTCCGAATCAAGTTCTCAAGAGCCTTGACTGTAGCCTCCCATTTGTCCACATCTTCAGATCCTGTCAGAACTGAAGGTAATCAAAAGACAAACAAAAGTTATTAACTCTGTTGTGCTTGGTGTACATACCCCAACCTCCTGCTGCCAATGGTTTGTCCTGGTACAGGCAGGTACCACTGACCCAGCATGACCAGCACCAGGAACTAAACTGAAACTACTCAAAAATCCTACAGCTTCTTCAAATTAGCTCAGAAAAAATAAACCTGCACAGAGATCACTCTCCCCACACCTGGTAAGAAACAGATGACGACTCAGCCCAAAATCTCCTACCTTCAATGCAGTCTCGGATATACACAGGAACCTTAATCTTCAGCTCTTTATCCTCTGACATGTCATAAGGGACGAGGTCATCATCACTGGAAAAGAAATAAAGGCAGGGGTTGGTTTATGGGGTGCAGATGTTCTGGCTTTCACCAGTTAGACACAAAGAGAAAGAACCAGCACATACACTGCCATAACACCACCACTCCTGCATCACCCAGCAGCACTGCTGAAGCCTGGCCTGAGAGGGGTCCTTAGGAATTCTAGGAATTTCTCAGGGAAAGAGCAGTTCTGTGACCAGATCTGCAATTGGATCTCCTGGTTGAGGGCAGGAAGGAGTCAGGTGACCAAGAAGCTGACTCTTGAGATTTCTTTATATGTATGTATGTATGTATGGCCAGTCTTCATGAATGAAGATTTGGGAAAGGTCTTTACCCTTTGAACCTGCGTAGTGGATTTTTTAGGTGAGACACAGTGTGTGCTGAGCTGAGCCCACCCTTTAATCCTAAGGTTCATCTGCCGGGGCCGAGCAAGCTTGGACAGTGGCAGTGAGGTCCTCAGGAGGTAGGTTTGTTTAGAGTGACCTTCTCTTAGATGGATGGCCTTACAGGGCTGACGAGCTCCATCTGCCCGGGGGAGTTTCCCTGACCAGGAATCGAACCCAGGCCGCAGCGGTGAGAGTGCTGCATCCCAACCACTAGACCACCAGGGGTCCCCTGATTTCTTTATATATTGACATATGTATTGACATATTTCTTAATATAGTGACAGAATATGGCAGGTCCACTATTAAAATGGGTAAATATATCCACAATGTCCAGGAAACATGTATCTAAGTCAAATGGAATACATATGGTGGTTGCACACAATGTGGGCTGTGCTTAATTTATTGACTCAATTTCTTATGCAAAGCCCTGCTCTGCTGCAAACCACTCAGCTCAACAAGGTCAGAAATCACATTTGCCAAGAAATGCAGGTACTGATAGCTCCCTTCTCCCCACATCTACCATTTATTTTCCATTTCCTCCCTGTTTCTTACCCCATACCTGTCAAGCTCAGCATCTGACTCCTCATCTGGCATCACAGGGGCTGCTGTCTGGGATTTCTTGTTACTTTCTGGTACCAGTGGCAGTGCAGCACCTGCTTTCTTACTCCGGCTGTGAGGAACAAGAATTTTTAAAATGAACACAGTAACAGTCCTTACTCACAAGGAAGAAACTCCCCACCCCACCAACCCCTGGTGCCTGAACAGAATTGCTGCAGTCTCACAGTCAGTTTGACAGGAAAAAAGTCCTGGGAAGGAGAATGAGATAAAGGGAGAAAGGCAGAATCTCTTAACAGAAGAGCAATGAATAACAAAAATCAAACTGGCTCATTTGCTGTGTTCCCCTGCACTCCCCTGTACCTGGGACTGCTAAGGAAAGATTGTGATAGCCAGTCACACTGGCCTGCACCAGATTTGGAGCTGTGAATGAAACTGAACTAAGTTTAGATTGGATATTGGGAAGAAATTCCTGGTTGTGAGGGTGGTGAGGCTCTGGCACAGGTTGCCCAGAGAAGCTGTGGCTGCCCCATCCCTGGAAGTGTCCAAGGCCAGGTTGGACGGGACTTGAAGCAACGTGGGCTAGTGGAAGGTGTCCCTGCCCATGGCACGGGGGTGGAAGGAGATGGATAATAAGGTCTCTTCCAACCCAAACCATCCCATGATTCTATGAAATGGGAAAAAAACATTTTTCACTATTGCTAATAGGATGAATACAATAATTGAGAATATTTTTCCTGTGTCTGTGTATTTCTGTGGACTTTGCCATTGTCCTTTCATCTCTCTGCTTCTCAAAAGTTGTCTATGCTGGTCATGCCCCTGGAACAGGAGCAATAAATGTTTTGTACTTCCCTGGAGTGCTGGGCACCTTCATCTGCTAATAACATGAAGTGCTTCATTCCTCTGCTGATCAAACTGAGTGCTTCCAAGAGCCTCAGCAGATGCCCTGGAAGTTCAGAGCACTGACAGATGCAGCAGATTTTTGTCATGGCTGGGGGCACATGGCCCAAATGCCACATTTACAAGATGCAAACAGAAACCCCCATTTAATTGCACCCAAGGGCACACAAGACCCCCGCACCACAGTTTCACTACGTGCACCTATCAAACAGGCTCTTTTAATACATGCTACCATTGGAATTATGAATTTAATATAACTACACTGCCCTGTAAGAAGAAGGTACATTATAATGCTTAAGAACATATAAAACATCTTGAATACTGTACACAGTTCTCACTTGTAACTCAAAAAAGACATGGAGAAGGGCAAAAAGATGGCATGAATAGTAGCCATAACTTACTCATCACCTGGAAGGCTGGGGACAACACACAGTGGTGGAGTTTGCACCAGAAGGGACCTCAATTCTCTTGTTTCATCATCTTCTTCATACTAGACATTCAGAATAACTGTTGCGGCACTCTTATTTATTGCAAATATGCCCAGCATACAACATTTCACCCTTGTACTGCACATGGACTGAACCATGAGCAGATGAACCCCCACCAATTCCATTTGTTTCAATCCCTGTACTGCCAGCAGCACTGTATTTATTCTGCATATGTAATCTTTGTTCCTGTATTTAACAATAGTACCTGATCACACCCTGCCTGAATGTTATTTCCATCTTTAAAACATTTAATAAATGGCAATGTGACATGAGGGATGCTGCAGGCTTTTAAAGAATTAATGTGATTTAAACAGATAAGTCACAAAAACTCTACTGGAAAGAGCAGAGCATGTATCTCCACATCAGTTTTGAAAATCCCAGCTCAGAGCAGGCCTTCTCACCATATCAAGGACTAAATGCTCACTACTGGTTTAGGTTTGAAGTTCCCTCTCAACTCCTATGGGTCAGATTCTGATTCCCTCATACAATGTGGTAAACTTCTTTTATTACCAACAGTTTACTCTGAACTCTGTCAGCAGATTGGATTCCTAAGGTCACCCTCAGCCACCCAACCATTTCCTATACAATTGTTTTCTGTAAACAGATATCCTCTCTTTTTGAAGGTGCTGCTGCCCCTCCTTATTTCCAGATAAAAAAGTGCTAAAATGCCCCGATCACATGGTTTAAAGCTTTTATTTCCTCTAAGCCCCACACATCAGTCATAAATTTCATTAAAACCTTCACCTCAAACTTCAGGACAGGTCCCTCCATGTTTATTTTGGAGCTGATGCTCTCTGCCACCACCATTCCCAGACGCCGGAGCTGTGGCAGACTGCTGTCCAAGTGGCACTTCACACCCTCCATCATGCTTGTGAGAAGCTCTGAAAAAAACCAACAAATGGTGCATGAAACAGTGACAGAAACGAACACTCATCTTTCCTGAGGGCAGCTTTACCCACTCACCACTGGGTAGAAAGAGCCCATGAACTGTGCCTTCCACCTCTGCAGTGGTAGCACTGCCCTTCAGCATCAGCACAGGAGGCCCTGACCCTTCCATGGGGTACAAAGTCAACAAAACATTACAATATATTCTGAATTTGCAATATTTTGGTTTTTGATGAAACATAAAAAGGATGGTAAGTCAAGTTAATCTTTAGTTTGGTTTTAGAGTTCTTTGAAGTCACTTAAATAAAAAGCCATGTTCTGAGGAAGCTACAGGTTCTGACCAATACAATAATTGGAGAGAGATTTCCCCAACCACTTGAGTAAGTTCAAACAGGCAGATGACACAAGTATTTCTCAGCCCACAGAAGATGCTGGCTGCCAGCTTTACCAGGCAGGCTTACTGCTGTCAGACTGACCTCCTTCATCTCAGAAAGCTTATTTTTCAAAAGCTGTCAGATAAAAAAACTGACTATAAAACTACAGTACTGTTAGTACATATCAGGTCACTTATTCACCTAAAGAACAGTTAATTCCAGAATGAAAGAGATGAGCAAGTCTTGAAGGCAACCTTTGCACCCCCCACGAGCCACACACACAGAGAAGTAACTCTAGACATTGTACAGCCCTTTTTCTATTGCAACAAAAGCAGAGATTTTAGACCAGGACCCCAGTGAGCTCCACACTGTGTGAACAGAGAACAGGAGGTCTGTGCCAGTGACTCACTATCCCTGCTCAGCTCAGGTGAGCGGAGCAGTGACACAGAGAAATGCAAATGGACAGTCAGACACCAACCAAACCCTCAGATACCTTCCCCATCCCCTCTGGAGCTGTACCCATGCTCCATGGTTAAGCTCAAATCACACCATTCCTCTCACTAGTCCCAGAGTCAACCCTTGTTTTCCTGTGACAAAACTTTGGGGTTCCTAAACCACTGCTCAGTTAAGACCCTTAGGGCAAAGATAAGCTTCTCCAATTCCACAACTTAAAGCTATGCACTTGGAATTATATCATGTCAATGCAAAAGAGGATTCCAACAGGTTACCATGTTTGCCAACGAGAAGGTGGGGCCATTGTGCTTATCCACAGATCAGAATGAGATCTTTTTCTACTCCTAGCAAGACTCTCTGCTAAACAAATCTAAGCTCCGCTTCTCACAGGACCTCACCTTGTCTGCGGCTCTCGATTTCAGACTCCTTCAGGTGGGAGAGGCAGATGAGGATGGCCTTGCTAATATACAGCTGCTGATCGGGTGGTGAGTGTTTCACAGCACTGCTGCTGCCCCAGGTCTCCAACAGCTCCTGCAGCACCTGAATCAGAGAACTCAGGCTGGCCTGAAACGCATCTTTTCTACACAGAAGTAATTTCTTGAAGAACATTTTTAGTCTCCCTACAAACAGAGCTAACTTTGTACTTCAGGGCCCAAAGCATACTGTGTTTGACCACCTAAGAACTCCACTTGACCTTCATTTAAGATATTGTTAAATATAATGGGGTTTTAAATTTAAAAATTATAAATGTTTATTTCTGATAAATAAATATTATATGCACAGCAATGTGTATTATTTTCAAAACTCAGTAGGATAGCATATTGTTTTATCTGGTTTTAGTCCAATTTTAAATAGCTTTCAGTACTTCCAGATCATTTCAGAACATGTAACCAGTGGGAAAAAAATTATTTGACAAAATGGTAGAGATTTCCAGATACGCAAATTTCACAGAAGTTCCATCACACTGCTGACTTGGAGAGGGAAAATATCTGCCATCCCCACTGAGAAAAATGTAGATGAGAGAGATTCTGAAGCATCAACCATTTGGCACACAGACAGCACTCCGCCAACTTGATCCCTTGCTGCCACCGGCTCAGCCACACAAACAGGGTGAGAGAGGAAGCTGAGAAGGACAGAGGACATGGAACATCAGTCAGAATCCAAGCCTCATTAGTTTTGCTACTTGGAAGACAATTTACCAGTTAAATACGAAAAACTAATGCCATCAGCGCAGCAAGTTTTGATTTGTGTACCACTATTTACTTGTGATATGTCAGGGCTTCCCTCGCTCTCATCAACAGCAACCAAAGGGTCTTGGAGAAGTACCAGAACTGTGCACCCCTCAGACACACAGAGCAGAGTGTTCTCCATCAGACACCTCACCAATGACATTGGTGATCCTTACTCTGAGCAGCAGGGCCCGCCGGAGGCTGTCCAGGGACAGGTACCCAAGGAGGTTCTGCAGCACCGCCGTCTGCAACGAGAGCCACGGCTCTTGCTTTAACTGGGCACAAAGCTGTCACCCAACACAGACAGGGTTGTGTTTTTACTACATTGAACTTCATTCTAACAACATTCAGAGACAGAAAAGTAAGTAAATTTTAAGAAACAACCAAACACACATATGCAGTTGCTGATGAAACACACGGGAAGGCATGACAGGAATACAATGCAGTGTTTTCACCAATAAAACCAGCACAGTCCCAGGCAAACATAGAACTCACAAAGTCTAGAGAACATCTCTCACAACAGTAGCACAAGCCACAGAACACTTCCTAACACCTCGTGACAAACTCAGGTGCACAGGAAAAAAAAACAACAGTCCTTGCCTCATCTCTTTGATCTAATTCTTATCTCTGAGGGTGGGTTATGGCTGTTTCAGTCTCCTCTTTCAGATTCTAAATAACTGAATGTCTCCAGCTCCCCAGAACACTGAAACCATGTGCAAAAAACCACCTGGTTCCAGAGAAAGAGTACAGTAATTCTGCCAATCACCATCGACCCTGAGTGAGCACATGAACTCCATGATTTTGAAGCAACCATTCACCACTCCCTCCCCATAACACTCCTCTGTCCATGAACAGCTACACATATGTGGAGAGACTGAGGGCTCATTTTGGAATAAATTCATCTTACTCAGGAAGAGCAAGAGCTTCGCTAAAAAAAACCACATTGGCACTGGGGAAAACCAGGCACTCCTGCAGTGCTGTTCCCCACAGTCCTCACCGTGTGGCCATACTGCAAGAGCAGCACCTTCTGCGTCACCACAAACTGAGCCTTCTTGTTCTTCACAACCAGGTTCCCCAGTAATCTGGACAAGACATCTGACCTAGCGAGACAGGTCAACAACAAAACATCAGGGATCCATGCAATTGCTGTCATGCTGCTCCTAACAGGAAAAACCGAGAGCAGCTATTTGCAACCAAGTCTCTAGAACACCTCTAAACTCAATAAGCCAGTAATGGCAAAGAATGTTTTCACTTGTTTTTCCACTGCAGGCCACAATGTAGATCCTTAAGGAATGGTGTAGGTTCTACCTGAGAGGTAACAATCAACTACTTTACCCCTTCAGTCTCTCAGGAAATGGCACTGTAAAAAACCACCTACACAAACACAGCACCCTTCAGACACTGATTGCGCAAGTATTTGTGACAAAATTCCAGCCTTTGCTCTGGATCAGGGAGAAAGCAAAGCTCTTACCCAGGTGCTCTCTGCACAAAGCCAAGGACCACCGCCTCCATCCAGCGCTCTGGCACACACTCCACCAGCCGCCAGCAGATCCTCTGCCAGATGCAGTCTGACTTAGTGAGCTCTGTCAGGCGGGGCACCAGAACACCCAGAATCTCCTCTGTGGCAGAAGAGAAAACAGTAAATACCCCAGGAGGGCAGGACTGTGGCAATGGCACTCAACATCAGCCTGCAAATTTCAATATCCTGACAACATGAAAAACTGCAATGTACAGTCTGCAGTTCTAAATTGCTCCTGCAGTAGAAATCACAGAAGAAAATCATGGAATCACTTAGGTTGGAAAAGCTCTCTAAGATCATTGAGTCCAACAATAACCCAGCAGTGCCACCACTACACCATGTCCCAAGTGCCACACCCACAGAGCTTTTAAATCACTTCAGGGATTTAGTGACTGCACCACTGCCCTGGGCAGCCTATTCCAGGGCCTGAAGTTTCTCCTGAAATCCAATTTAAACCTCCCCTGGCACAACCTGAGGCTATTTCATCTTATCCCATCCCATGTTTCCTGGGAGCAGAGCTCAACCCCCATCCTGATTCTCATCCTGACGAGGATGCTCTCCCCTTCAGGTTTTAAGAGAGCAGAGGGCAGCCTGTGCAGCCCAGCTCAGGACAGCTCCAAATTAACTGGTCAATCTCCCATTCCTTCCATTGGTCATCATTGCAGTCGTGGTCCCACACTAATTCAGTAAAACACTTTCCCTCTCCCCAAAAGAGCATTGTAAAGCACTCACTTTGCCTTCCGTGAATGCACACCTTCCCCAGGACATGAGAAACAAAAGAGATGGAGCAGTCCAAGCCACCTGGGATAAGAGACAGGAGCTTAACAAGTGCATTGCCAGCATCCCCCAGCCAACCTTCAGGAGGAAGTGCAGAAACTTCTACAAGTGCTGAAGCCTGAAAACACAGATTAACTTCAAGCATCATCTCTTCCTCTGTCCACCACCTTGTGCCTTCAGGCACAAACTAGCACTCAGTATTGTTTACACAAAGTGACAGGCAGAAGGCTAAAGCAGCTCAGTCCCAACTTTCAACAAGATGGTAACAAAGCCACTGGTTCATTCAGCACCATTTAAATCTCCCATACAATTCCCTCAGTACACACCAAGTGACCCCAACTAAGCTTTAGGAACAGATGCTGCTGCTTAATTACTTGTAGGACTGCTGCTTTCGCTGGGATTTCAAAAGGTCTCAACTATCTTCCTCATCCCTGGGATCTTATGCTTTTAGGATAGCCTGAAGAAGGAACGTGAGGCTCTGCAACACTCATCATCTGTATTTCAAGCAGCAGTCAGGGGGTCCACGCACAAAACACTTCAGAAAAGTCATCCCTCCAGTGCAGTCCTTCCTTACCTCGCAGAGAGTCGGAGATCATCTGCAGCACCTGGAGAACTGCAGCTCCCAGGAGAGGGAAGTAGTTCTGCGGGAAGAACACTGGCGGGTTTTCCCCCTGGAGTTTATTGCTCACGTGCTCAGGCAAACACACGATTCTGTTGAGCAGGGCGTCCTGCAGCTCCGGGCACCCACCGTGCGCCTGCTGCTGACACCCGTCCCACAGCAGCGCTGACAGCCGCCCCTCCCGCAGGAACCGCTCCAGCATCGCCGCCACCTCCCTCGGCGCGAGCCCGGGGCTGGAAGAGAGAGACTGCTCTAAGTCCCTGCACCTCTCAAATGGCAGAAATAAGATGCGCGTGCAATTGCTTTTCACTTGTGGTCTCACCACTGAAACACCGCTGCTCTGTTAACACTGAATTCTACTCAACAATCAAGTTAAAACCAAAGCGATTTTGATTCCTTTGTATCAGCACATTCATTCAATAACCAGGCCTGAAGGACCCCCGCGACTGCGGGACGCCCGGTACCGCGTGTGGGGTGTGCGGGGGGCTCAGGGCAGCGCCAGGGCTCCCCGCGCCCACCCCCATCCCCCCGCCCGCCTGCCCTAGGGGGCCGCACTGACCCCGCGGAGCCGAGGGCCTCGAGCAGGACGCAGAGGGCGAGGCCGGGCGGGCCCTCGAGGAAGCAGCGCTGCCACTCGCCCTCGGGCCGCGCCGCGCCGGGCGCCCGGGCCAGGCTGCGCAGGAAGGCGCCGAACTGCGCCCGTTCCCGCTCCCCGAGCGCGACTGGGCCGCCCGCAGCCGACAGGGCGGAGAGCACAGCGCCCAGCGCCGCCGCAGGGCCCTGCCCGGTGCCCTCCGCGGCCCCCGCTCGGCCCAGCGCCGCCGCCGCCTCGCGCAGGGCGCACTCCAGCCCCGGCCCCGCCGGCGCCGCCATGGCGCCGAGGAAAAGGTCCCGCTCCCCCACCCTCGGCGGTCGCCAATCAGCGGCGCCCATGTGCCCCGATAACAGCCAATCAGCGACGCCAGCCCCGTAGAGCTGCGGACAAGCCCCGCCCCTCTTCAAGAGCGCGGCGCCTCCGGCGGGGGAGGGGCTGCGCTGAGGGAGAGTCACGGGACGGGCCGAGCTGAAAGGGACCCACAAGGATCATCGAGTGCAACCCTCAGCCTGCACAGGACCATCCCCAACAGTCACACCATGTGCCCCAGAGGATCAGCCAAACCCTCCTGGAGCTCTGGCAGCCTTGGGGCTGTGCCCGCTGCCCTGGGGAGCCTGGGCAGTGCCCAACCAGCCTCTGGGGGAAGAACCTTTTCCTGACATCCAACCTGACCCTGCCCTGACACAGCTCCAGGCCATTCCCTGGCTCCTGTCCCTGGTCCCCACAGAGAAGACCTCAGGGCCTGCCCCTCCTGAGGAAGTTAGAACCGCAGTGAGGTCTCCCTTCATTCTCCTCCAGTTGAAAACGCCAAGTGCCCTCAGTGTCCTCACACGGCTTCCCCTCAGGGCCCTTCCCCATCTTCATTGCCTCCTTTGGACACTCTCTAATGGCTTCATATTTTTCTTATATTGCAGTGCCCCCCAATATTGCAGGTGAGGCTGCCCCAGGGCAGAGCAGAGCAGGACAATCCCCTCCCTGGCCTGGCCGGTGATGCTGGGCCTGATGCCCCCCAGGACAGGGTTGGCCCTCCTGGCTGCCAGGGCACTGCTGACTCATAGCCAAGTGGCCACGGACCAGGACACCCCGGGCCCTTTCCCGCAGCACTGAATCCCCAGGAAGGGCCCCACATGCCCACACCGAGGCAGCAAAAAAAGACAGCTACTCTCAACCTACTGCTTTATTCCGTAATTGCTGGTCCTACACAAGTACAAACACAACATGGCCCAAAAGGCTACAAAGTTATACAAAACAAAACGAAAAAAAGTCTGTATAGTATTGGCTGTACAACAGGTGGTAAATTCTTTGCCTTTCCCTGTGTGAACCCCAGATAATCCAGCCAGCACTGTGACCTTGAGCCTCCCTCTCTGACCTGCAGTTTCCAGGAGGCTGGCGCTCAGTCACTCATTTGGGATTTGTAAAAGCAGAAGCACTCACACTATTTTACTGGGGGTTGTGTAAGAAGTTTTTATCAACACCCTCAAAGAAAAAGTGAAAGAAATCATTTAACGGGGCAGCTACAGAACAGTTCTTAGGATTTCCAGCTTCTTCTCTAAAGTGTCATGTTCAGTGGGCTGGACCATTGCTTCTGAGGTGATCCCCTGGTATAAGTGTTACAGAAGAGCTCACTCGGCAGAAACTAATCATCATGGGGCACTGCAATAAAGCAACAACTCTGCATTTAATTAAAGTTTTGGGCAGGTCTGGACTCCAGCTGCCCTGAAAAATCTTGTGCTGGCACCTAGAGATCAAAATAAATGCCCCCCTGGCTTACTCACTGGGGTTCTGAAACAGCTCAAGATTTACATGCTGATCTGTACAGCACGCTAAGCATTTACAATCACCAAGCAGCAACCTGCTAACTGGAGAAAGAGGGGCTGAAACATCTTTCCTTCCCTCTACCTGGAAAAGATGTTTTTGCAGCCTTTAAAATCAAAGCCACTTTTAAATAATTTCTATTCAATGCCAGGAACCCCAGTAGCAAAGGTTACTGGCCAGGAACTGGTGCTCTCTCCTCTTAGGTTGCCTTCACTGCCACCTTACCTCTCTCACTTCTCCTCACCCAGACTCATTATAAAAAAAACGTACAATATATAGTCTGATGGGATTTAAGTTAAAAAATAAAAAGCTGTCCAGTCCTTTTGCTTTATCGGGAGGAGTTGGAGCTGGAGCGGCTGCGATGGCGCCTTCGTCCGGGAGATCTGGATCGGGATCGCCGGCGAACGGGGGATCTGCGCCGCGGAGACCGGGACCTGGCAGGGCAGGAGAAGGAGGAGGAAGCTTCCGTTAGCAGACAACAGCAACAGGTTTGAGTATTTGGTCAGTTCTTTAAAAACATTTCCCAGCCTCCCTCCAAAGTCCCTCACACCCCATGGGAAAAGAGATCGAGAGCTCCATAGAGGAAAAGGGCAATTCAAACACTGACTACACAGCAGGAATATCCCAACTATCCTACCTCTGCTTCAGGAACTGGAAAGAATGTTGAGTATCCAAACAACAGACAAGAAACTTATCTTCTTCCTCAAGGAAAATGAGCTCAAATTCATTCTACATCAGATTCTCCTTCACCTGAAGTCAGCTTTGACTTCTGAAACAATGATATTCAGGGGAGGGCTTATCCAAGCCCTTTTAAATTCCAGGGAAGTTCCTTAGAGGAAATAACCTCAAGAAATGGTTTACCTTCAAGCTCTTCAGTACTACAATCAACCTGTATGACCACTGCTATGACATCAGGGTTCCAGGCACAGAATATTAACAGAACTTTAACAGGACAGTAAAAGTTGGACTGGGGAAGAAAACAAAGGAGGAGGGAATAGCAAACCTGCACCTGGCAGACCTCAGCAGAAGGTGTGTTGAAAGGAGGACTAACAGGCAGCAGATCTTTTGTCAGGGTAAGCAGTGCTCATTTTTAAACCTATGGCTCAAAGCTGTTCAGCAATCAAGTTAGTACTGATATGAATTTCTAAGACAGAGGAGCCCATGTAAAGACTCAGAACAACTTATCTGCGCACAATCAGGTAGCCCTGAGTCACACAATGAGAATGTGCATGTCAGGTCACACCTTGGGGCCGGTGTACTCCACTCACCTGACACAGGACTGCTTTTTGGTCATGTGCCGATTAAGAAATAAGGGAGGGAGATACAAGGACTTCCAAAAAACAGGCAGCTGGTGCAGGCTGCCACAAGTGTCCTGCCAGCCAGAGTCTGTTCCCCTCAAAACCTTTATGCAGAAGGGGCTCCAGGGAACAGGAGCCTGACCTTTCCCACAGGCTGTATCCGGGGTGCAGACCAGGGCAGGTCACCTCGGAGCTACTGAGGAGCTGGCAACTGCAATCCAGGTTCAACAACTGCCCAAAAGTGTTCCTGTCACTTGGAGGGGAAAGTCAAGTCCAACAGGACTGTCCCCACGCCAAGAACTTCAGCAGTACCGTGCTGTTACACAGAGAAGGAAACACAAGTTGTGACGGCTCTCACCTTCTCCTCATGCGCGGGGGTGAGCGGCGCCACATTGGGGGTGGTGGCAGCATCCTGCGGGGGGGGCTGAAGCGCCGGGGGGGCAGCCGGGGCCGCGGGGCCAGCACGGCTGTGGCAGTGATCTCCTGCCCATCGATTTGGCCTTTGGGGGAACCACGCAAACAGCCAGGAGTCAGTATTTTTCAACACCAACATCTACACATCCATCACATTTACTGCAACTCACGGCTTTGTCACAAGCGACTGAAGCGGGATCAGCCCATGGTGCCTCCACCCCCCACTCAGGGGCTACTCTGACAAAGTCCACACACGTACTAGACTTCTTAATCTAATATCCTACCAAACTGCAGCTCAGATGTTAAGTTTCTGTGAAAATCTTTCCAATTTAAAGAATCTTACCACTGTTTCGAAAAAAAAAAAAAATCAGTTTTAATGGTTCTGTGATGTTTTGGATCGGTCCTGAAACACAAAAGCCATTTGGGCTGAAAGCTGACAGTATTTCAGATCAGTTCCCCAAAGACATCCCTATCACCTTTAACCCACTTTCAGATCAAATTCATCTACTCTAAAGATTTTTAGATATCCCCAGGCTCCTCGCAAGATGATACCTACCTCCATCCATGTGTTTCAGGGCTTTCTCAGCATCATCTGAGTTCTCAAACTCCACATAAGCATAACCTTTGGAGAGGTGAGGGTTTAGCCTGTCAACTGGCATGTCAATCATTTTAATCTTTCCGTAAGTAGAAAAAATTTCCATGATGTGATCCTGCAAGGAAAGAGCAAGCTTTATGGACACAGGCCATACTCACCGGTCAGGTCTGGCTGCCACAGAGCAGTAAATCCACAGCACATCATTTTTTCAGCAGCCTTTTACCCCTGAAGACCTTTTAACTGCCTTCTAGCAAAGACAACTCAAGCCAGCCCAGCTCTCTGTAGATCCTTCATCAAGAACTGCCAGATATCATTAATGCCTCCAAGGTAATTTCAGCTGTTGTCCCAACTTCTATAGACTTCTTTCTAATAAAACAGGATATAAGGTCTGGGATACTGTCAAAGCAGGCAGACCTCTTAAGCACTACACAGTCTCAGAAGCCTGCACGGTATTTGACTCACTAAAACCCTACTAAAATTTTCCTCCCTAATCAATCTGGACATAAAGTGAGAACTTCCAACAGCAACACCTTGGCATCTCTCTAGCAACCAAAACATCCTGAGAGCTTTGAAAAAGCCACTCACACGTTCTCACAGAAGAACATGAATGCTTGATACCACAGGGGAACATGCCATTACCTTGGTCACATTTCTAGTGAGCCTTCCAACATGCACCTTTGTGGGTCTGAGGGATGGGCTCCGCCTCTTTCGCTCCTTCTCATCTCTCTTGGGTGGCTTGGACCTGATTTGGGCAACAGAAAATATTCACAGTTTTCGGGGAACATGCAAGACAAAACCAAGAAGCCAGTCATTATCACACAATTAAAAAGTACCATTTTTCTTGGAAGGACACCTTTTTTCTGAGAAAGTTACAGGTTAAGAGGTGTTGGGGTGGTGGTGAGGCTGTTCCACT